GAGCTCTACTCCGGCTGCGGGGCCGCCACCGCCGCCGCCGAGCAGGAGGGCCTGCGCACCGCGGTGCCGGTCGATCGAGTTCATGGGCCTCATCATGACCTTCTGGACCCGCGTGTGCAGCGGGAGGTCCTGGCCTGGATCACTGGCGGACTGGCGTGGTGCATCCTGCTCGGCACTCCCTGCACGGGGCGGGTGCCGGCCCGTACCACCGGGGTCGGAGACCACCCCACCACCGCCTGCAAGGCCTTCACCGCCAAGGTCCTGCGGGTCGCAGCGCGCTGCGGCGTCCACATCATCCTGGAGAACCCTGCTCGCAGCAACCTCTTCGGCGATCCCGGGATCTCTCGGGCGCTGGCGAGGCGTGGTGCCGTGCGCTGCGATTTCGACATGTGCGCCTACGGAGCCCCGTGGAAGAAGCCGACGACGATCTACACTACGCTGCCTGGGGGGCCCACTCTCAGTCGCCGATGCCCGGCGCCAGGGGCTCCCCATGTCGTCCTCGCCGTGAAGGTGCAGCTTGCAGGGGCCCGCCCGCGGTGGCGTACCTCTTTCGCCGCGGCGTACCCTCCTCGCCTGGCTGTTGCTCTGGCCCGGGTGTGCCGCGCCGCTGCGCCGCCCAGCAGCCCCCGCTGCCCGCGGGGGCCCCTCCCGGACGACTTCTGGGACTGGCGTCTGGCAGCCAGCTCGCAGCCCTCCCCAGCACCCAGCCGACGCGTGGCTGCCCCGCGCCTTGAGCGCGCCGCCCGGCTCGGGTGGGAGGGGGCAGTCAAGCACTGGGACGGGAAACCCTGGCGGGATGAGCTGGCGGACTTCCGCGCCCATCGCGCCGCCTGCGCCGGCGCGGCGCGCAGCCAGGCGCCGGGGCGGTGCCCGCCGGGAGGCCTGCGGTGAGGCCCCAGGGGCCTGCCGCCGCGCCGCCGCCCGCCCGACCACAGCTCGGCACTACTGGGAGTCGTTCGTGGAGGTCGGGCGCTCGGCGAAGCAGCAAGGGCGCGAGCCGACGAGTGCGGCTGCGTGGGGCGCGGTCCTGGACGAGTTTCTGGGCGCCGAGAACTTCGACTACGACGCCTCCACCATCGTGGGGGCCCATGACCGTGGCTGGGTGGCTCAGCTTGTCCTCAACCTGGCCGCCAGAGCGACGTCAGCGCGCCCAGGAGACCCAGCCGCCCCGCTGTGTCCTGGTCTGAGCGCCGCCCGCTGGGCGGCGGCATGCCGCGAGTACCGCCTCGAAGTTTTTGATGCCCAGCTGCCGTTCTCGCCTCGCTCTTTTTGCCACGCAGGTCCTAGCCATGACGCGTGGCGCTCCAGAGCGAGCGCGGCAGCCCGTCAGACCCGCGGCCGCTGGCTCGCCCCATCCTCGGTCCGGCGCGTAAAAGGAGCGCGCTGTCGCCTGCCCAGCTTTGCAGTGCCGCCAGCGCGGCCAATAATCTCGAGCACAGACTTGAACGCGCTCCCAGCTCCACCCCGACCACCGCCCAGAGGTGCCCTTGCAGGGGCTTCGGGATTTTGGGTGCCAGCGAGGCCGACAGTCCGAGCCTCGCCTGGCGCCACAGCTTCCGGGTCCAAGCGACCCCGTCAGGAACCTGCCGATACCTTTCGGCCGCGGCGGCGCCCCAGCGCAAAATGAAGTCCTGTGCCTTTATTCTCTTTGATGGCTGCCGCCGTCCCCGCAGAGGACGGCAGTACAGATGGTGATCGAAAGTGCGACACATTATCACTGTCCGCATCGGAGTCCTCTGCAGCTTTTCTGGCTCCGCCCATTCCCCTCCTCCTCCCTTTTTTTTTCCTGTGCTCGATGCTTTTCAACTCTTGGGTGCCAGCGAGGCCGACAGTCCGAGCCTCGCCTGGTGCCACAGCTTCCGGGTCCAAGCGACCCCGTCAGGAACCTGCCGATACCTATCGGCCGCGGCGGCGCCCCAGCGCAAAATGAAGTCCTGTGCCTTTATTCTCTTTGATGGCTGCCGCCGTCCCCGCAGAGGACGGCAGTACAGATGGTGATGATGATGATGGTGCTGATGCTGATGCTGGTGACGATGATGATATTGTTGTTGTTGATGATGATGGTGATGATGATGATGATGTGATGGTGGTGATGATGATGATGATGCTGATGATGATGATGATGGTGATGGTGATGGTGATGGTGATGGTGATGATGATGATGGTGTGGAGGCCCTCTTAGGCTGTCTTGGCGTCGTGTTGGGGCGTCTTGGGGAGTCTTGGGCGCATGCTGGGTGCCTGAGGGCTGTCGCGTGGCCGTCCTTGCGCAGTCTTGGGCAGCAAGGCCGTCTTGGGTCCCGTGGAAGGCTCTCTTGGGCAGATTACTATTCGAGCTTCTCGCGGATCGTTGCTTTCCTCCCTCTTCTCGCTCCCCCCCCCCTCCTCTCCACCCACCCTCTCCACCCACCAACTCTCGCGTTCCTCTCGCCACAGACCGCCACTTGCGTTTCCAGGGCTAAAATGCGTTGGCAAACAGAAGCTGCTATTGTACGATGTCAAGTTGGCTTTAATGTAGTATTACTTCCCGATGCTGTATTGATTGTCCTGAACATGCGCGCATGCGTTTCGTATGCGACAAGTGCATATCTACAAAATCAGTCCGCCAGGCCGGCCCACTATAACTGAGTACCGTAAAGTGGACATTACGCTTGAGGACCGTTCGAAAATTTAGGATCGATGGCGGATGGAATATCGAACATCCAGGATCGAGGATCCAGGACCGACGAACAAAAGAACTCTCTTGCTACCTGTCTTCGCATTCACACGCGCACACATCACACCCTGGGCTTCTTGGCACAGACGGAAATCGAGCTTTCACCAACGTCGGGCGTCCCACCTGGACCTCTCAGCCCCGTCCCGAGAAACGGTCGATCATCTGGGGTCGGTTTTGGATGGCCTGCAGGGCCGAAAGCAAGCTTCCAGAGGTCCTTCTGGAAAAGACCGGCCGTCGTGACGCGATTCAGCCCGTTGGATCTTGAAGGTCTCGCAAGAGGCGTTGCGCATTTCCCGTCAGGCCGTGGTGCCCGGTACAATGCTGCAGCGACTAATTTGTGATCTTCCAGTGCACATATTGTTTTGTCCAGCATCATACTACAATGACCAAGTGCGGCACGGACTGGGAAGTCGCATTCCGCCCATGTTTCCTCGAACAAAATTAATTCTCGGGTCGCTTGCCGGGGTGACTGGATGATTTTTCAGGCCACCAGTAACTGGCGATTTTGTACTGAAATTCCGGCCAAAACCTTTCAGTTCCCATGCCATGCCGCCAAACAGTGGCGATATCGTTTAAACTACCAGACAGACGGACAGACAGAAGCCATGCACCGGCCTATGGCACGGTGCTTGGGAAACGTTTACACAATTTGAGAATTTCACGCGCCCTGCGCTTTAGCGGGCTTCCGATGCGCCAACGCGAAAACGAATTTCACACGTCATCTTGTACACACACTGAGCCCATTGCAGCTTATGGCGGCCGCGCTTCCAGACCAAGTGCAGGATCCGTTTGAGGACCGTTCGAAGATCGAGAAGCGATAGAATTTCGAGCATCCAGGACCGAGTATCAAGGACCGATCGACGGTCGAACTGAGCATCGCAGATCGATCCAAGAGCGAATGTCCATGGAGTGTACTTCGTAAAGTGCCGAGCCAAACTCTTGAATCCATGGGGTAGTAGAGGTCTGGGGCCTTACAGAAGCGGCATTCCTCCTTCTCTGGCCGACTCGGCTGGCCGATGGGCGGCTCGCGGAGAGGGTTTTCCAATAGTTTCAGAGGGGGAGTAGGAGGCGGAGGAGGATGAGCTGGAAGATGAAGAATGGAGGAGCAGGAGGGGGAGGAGAGGCTTAGCACTGCTACTCGTTGTCCGCAAGGGCGCCCACACTCAGAATGGTCCCCGCCCCTCTTCTTACTGCGCGGCCGCTGCTCTGTGGTTTTTGGTGGGTACTGCGCACCTTTGTTCACCACTCGCTTACGGGCGTTTCGAATGTGTTAGGTTAAAACTCTTTGAGATTCAACCCAGCTCTGGCGCTGATACCTCCTCGGGTATGATCTGGCCAAATCTGGTTTTATCTGGCCTAAGTTTGGTTGAGGCTCAGCAGCCCCCCACTCGGGCCCATTAGTTTTCAGTCGTTGCCGCGAAGACCTCCCAGGAGATGCCTCTCAAGACTACGTGGTGTAGGCAGGTCCAAGATGAGCATAAATCGGTCCAGAGTGTTCCAGAATGCTGTTAGAGTTTTCTGGGAGCTCTGGCACGGTCGCGGCGCCCGACATCAATCCTTCAGCCCCGCCAGCTTTCAGAAGTCCCCGATGCAAGAGTGAGAGGGCCGAATGGTCTTACAAGGTCTTTGGGTGCGTGGCTGTAGTGGGGTTCCACGGTGCAGATTCTTGTCGTCGTCGTCGCCCACAACCCGCCCCGCGGCCCACCCGCGACCAGCCCGCGGCCCGCCCGCGACCCTCCCGCGATGAACCTGCGACCCACCCACATTGATTTGACGAGAAATCGTCGTTTGCGGCGGGCTCGTTATGTCATGTGTACACGGGCGGCACCTGCATCGGGCTTCCTCACATTTGTTTTCAAGCCTCTCAAGATGCCGACGACCCGCCCATCGCCGCCCCCTCAATCTTATCCGCACTTGCGGGGGCTAGTATCCTCATCCAAATTTGCCCGTATCCTGCCTTCGTCTCAGGTCGACTTTATCCAAAATTGCGGGGGCTGTGGTATCCTCATCCGAATTTGTTTGTGTCCTGCCTTCGTCTTAGGCCGAAAAAGAAAAACGTCATGTCATAAACATAAACATTCGGAGGTCCGCGTCGATTTCTCGGATCGACTCTGGGGCCCCCATGGCGGCGCTTCTGGCGCCGCCCCTGGCGCGCTCCGCGCGCCAGGGAGAAATCCGTGTGGACCTCTGAACGCTCATGCTCATGCCGTCTCTTCTCTCTCTCTCTCTCTAACGGTGGCCAAAGTCTGAGGACAGAGCCCTCGCCCGGCGGCCGGCTCGGGGGGAGGTGGCCCACCAGCGCTGCCAGGCTGGGGCCGGGCGCGCCGCCGTGCGCCGCGCTCTCCTGCTGATATGATCCTCCTCCTCCTTCTCCTCGTGCCCGTCCTTCCCGTAGCCATTTTGGCTCACGATGCCGGTGGGGCGAAGGGTGGTGTCGGTGTCGGCTGCCCACGCCCGGTCCCTGCTCCTGCCCCCAAGCAGTGGTTAGTGCACCATTGCCTGCAAAAGCACGGCTTGCAAGCGGTACTGCAGCCGCTGCTGGCCGACTCCTGTCTGTGTCATCGGCTCGGGCTCGCATTCCAGTCGCCGCGGAGCAGCTCTGCGCCTGGCCTGGCACCGCAGCGCCCAACCTTGTAGTTTCCTGCGCCAGCTGGCGAGTGCATGCGCCCAACGTTTCACTTTCCGTTCTGTCTCCTCCCCTCCTCTTCGTAATCCCGCCGGCGGCGCGAGTGGATCCAGGCATGCATCTCCCACAGAACATAGTCATGGGCTGCTACGCTTCTCTTTGATTGTCGTCGTGTCGGGCCTTATCATGTTAATGGTCGGTTGGGCAATGGGGGGATGCACGCACAACGCCATTATTCCTCTTCCCCCTTCTCCTCCTCGTCCTCCCCTTCCTCCCTGAACGTGGTGACGTTTGCCCTGCCTGCCACTCCAGAACAATGGGTTGCCGCTCTCGAGGTTCAGCGCGGTACGTGCCCGCGCTCATGTACTACAGTGGGAGCGATTATAGCGCCCATGATAGGAAGCGGATTGGATGGCCTGGTCAGTCGAGCTTTTCTGTACCTTGGGCGGGCATCGTGTGCTTGTGTTCCGAGGTTGTGCTCGTGGGAAAAGATTCGGCACGCCGCCCTCTCAGTATCCGGCTGCCTGCGGCAGATCCGCCACCGTGCCAGCGACGCGTTCTGTGTGGCGACTTTTCGAGCATTTCCCAAAAGGCCGTCGCACGTGACCCCCCTCGCGCCTCCACGTCTCAATCAAGGAGTTGTCATGGGGCCTGTGTGGGCCGTCTTGGAGTTGTGTTGTGCTCTTGTTTCTCTCATTGTTGCGTGTCTTCCCGCACCTCGTTTCCTCGCCTCCACTTGCCCCTCTGGCCTCCAGCCTCCTCCACCGCCTCATTCCTCATTCGTGTTTTCTTTCCCAAAGCCCCACCCTCCACATAGACATCCTCCACTGCTGGTCTTGTTCCCACCTCCCTGCACTTCACCTCCAGTGCGTCACCCTTCTTTCTTCCCTGCCCTCCCCCTCCTCCTCCTCCTCCTCCTCCTCCTCCTTCTCATCCTCCTCCTATGCAATCTCCACCACCTCTCCTCCTCCTCCGCCATTGCTTTTCCTTGTGAACGACTCTTCCTTGACGTACCCCAAGACCAGTCGGAAGAGCGGGCCGTGCGTTTCGCCCGCGGCTTCCTTACCATGTATGAACCTTAAATTTAAACGTTGGCAGCGGTTTCGCACATGGATGGCGGGTGGTACTCAAAATGTGGCACTCGCTTTCGTTTTGCACACACACTCGTTAAAACATGCCAGCGTTTCCCGTATTGAGGACGGGCACTTTCAACATGTTGCTCTCACCTTAGCGCTGCGCCCATTCGTCTTACCAATATGCAGGAGATGCATTGATTAAGGCGGGCCGTTGTCAAAATGTGGCTCTAGCGCCGCGCACATTCGTTTTAAACATTTGCAGACGTTTCATGGCTTCCCATGGCCAACGTACCAGAGATGGCGTTCTGGAACGACTCGGGCTTGTCAGGGCGCAACAGTTACGATGATGCGCGGTGTTGAAGTCCTGGGTATGGTGTTCTGGCACGGTTCAGGATCGTCACCCGCAACAGTCAGGTTAATTCGTGTCGTTGGGGTCCCGAGAACGGTGTTCTGGCATGCTTCAGGATCTTCAAACGGTTGTATCCCAACGGGGCACTTCCCTCAGTGGGCATGAATCCTTCTAGGGGCCTCCTGAAGAGGGAGCTTGGAGGGAGGGTATATTCTAACATCGTTGATGGGTCTTGGGTTTGCACTGGTCCCCCTCCTCCCCCTCCTCCTCTTCCTCCTCCTTCTCCTCTCCCCCTCTCCTTCTCCGTCCTCATTCGGCTCCTCCTCATGCGCCTCCCCCGTTTCACCCCCTTCCGCGTGTGCCCTTCCTCAACGGCGAGGAACTAGGAGGGACGAAGAGGGAGGGGATGATGATAAGGAGGAGAAGGAGGAGGAGGAAAAGGAGGAGGAGGAGGAGGAGGAGGAGGCGCGCTTTGGCATGCTGCACGCCTACTTCAAGCCCTTAGGGGCTTTTCTATTTTTGCTTGCCGGTTATTGCCCCACCCTGCACCATCGGAGTGCATGGTCCAGGTTTTACCCTTTTGCGCTGAGCACTCGGGCCATTGCGCATCTAGTAAGTTGGATTCAGTTTCGTCCATCAATTAGGCTTTGCCTCGGGCTCCATGTTCGTTCTTTCAGGAAAGAACCGGTGGGTGCCTCCTCCAGTTGGCACGGGCCTTCCCCTGGGTTTGTTGGGTTCGTTTCCTTACAAGGGCCTTGCCCAGGGTTCCTCGCATTCGATTCCCTACATGGCGTGCTCCGGGTTCTGCATTCCCTGGGCTCCTTGCGCTTGGTTCCTTGGTCGTTTGGTTTTGGTTCTTTGGGCTCTTTGGTGTTGCTTCCTTGCTGCGTTACCAGGGTTTTCTGTGGTTTTGGTTATTCGATTGTTTGGTCTTGTTCCTTATTTGTTTGGGTCTTGGCTCCTTGGTATTGGTTCCTTGGTTCCTTTGTCTTGGTTCCTTGCTGCCTCAGCACACAATGCCAAGCAATGTCAAGCAATCTCAAGCCGCGCGGCACGCAATGCCAAGCAACTCCAAACAAAACCAAAACATGTCAAGCCACGCCAAGCAATGCCACACAATGCCGCGCAAGGCCAAGGAATGCGCAGCAATGTCAAGCCGTGCCAAGCAGTGCGCCTATGCAATTGGAAGCTCCCCCCACACCATCGTTGTGCGTTGTGCTACTCCAGATTTCAATTTTCTGGCCTAAGTCGCCGCTGCCTCGTCGACGCGCGCGGTCCACCTGCGAGGACATCGGCGTCGATCCGATGAATCTCGCGCAGTCCTCGATGTTTTTGTCAGCACTTTTGAGGCAATATTGAAGCCTTCAGAAGGACGGTTTGAACATGGTCGGCGCAGCGTCATAGAGGATTCCGCGCCCATGAGACCACGTCGAAGCCTTCCGCATGTCGGTATCACCCGGATTACCGCATACGGTAGAGGGACACAATTCGTGGACACTCCCCCCCTCCCCCGAATTCAAAGTTGGCACGCGCGGGGAAGACCGCGGTCGAAGTGCAACTCATTTAACCCGCCGCCAACTTTGATCATGGGGGGGCATTGACAGATGAATGTGGAACGGGTGTTCGTTCATTTCTTCCGAGGCCTGTAGCTAGCGAGGGTCCCGTGCCGATGTTGGGACCACGTTGAGACCCTCAGGCCAGGGGCCCAATACCGCCCACCTTCCGCATTATCCCGGGATGTTCCTTCCCCACATTGAGACCGCGTTGAGACCCTCATGCCAGGGGCTCAACGTCGCCGAGGCGTGACTCCCGCACAGTCCTTGAGGATGCCGTGCGCACGTTGAGACCAGGTTGAGAACATCAGGCTGGGGGCTCAACGTCGCCCAGGCGCGACTCCCTCGAAGTCTTCGAGGATTTTGTGCCCACGTTGGGACCATGTTGAGACCTTCGCGGCAGGGGCTCAACATGACTCATGCAAGGTCCTCCAGGATTCCATGCCCCCGTTGGGACCATGATGAGACACTCGCGGCGAGGGCCAAACATGACTCCGGCACAGTTCTCGTAGACTTCGCGCCAATGTTGAGCCCATGTAGTCGTGCCCAAGTTGGCCTATGTTGGGACCCCCAGATCAAAGGCTCAACACGCAGCATAATCTCGGAGGATTGCGGACCCATGTTGGATCTCTCAAGTCCGAGGCTCAACATGACTTCCGCATAGTTCTCTAGGACTTCGTGCACATGTTGAACCCAAATTAAGCCTCTCAGGTCAGAGTCTCAACGTCGCACTGGCGTTACCCCCGCATCGTATTCAATGGTTGCGTCCCCTTGTTTGCCCGATGTTGAGACCCTCGGGTCAGGGGCTCAACGTGACTCCCACGTTGTCCTCGAGGACTTCGTGCCCATTTTGAGCCCATGTTGGGCCTCTCAAGTCAGAGGCGCCACATAATTCCAGCATAGTCATCGAGGATATCGTCCTACCGTTGAACCCATATTGGGCCTCTCAGGTCCGAGGCTCAACACGACCCCCGCATAGTTTTCGAGGATGTCGCGCCAATGTTGGGTCCATGTTGAGACCTTCAGATCAGAGGCTCAACGTTGCCCTAGCGGTACTCCCGCATAGGCTTCGAGGATTTTGTGCCCACATTGGGCCCCGTGCTGGGAACCGACGGGCTCGAAGCCTCTGTCCGCAATCCTGAGTTACCGCCACGTCCCCCTCTATAGTAATACTGTTTTGCGAAGCGACGCTTCATTAATTAAGACGCTAGTGTGCGAATCCAACGGCGGCCTTGGACGCTGGGGTCGTCCGAAACAGCAGTGGACGCAATGTGTGCACGCTATGGCACACGCGTGTATATCGTTGCCATTTGTTCCCAACCATCCTGTGGTGTTGGATCTTGGTTTTGAACAGACAGCGCCCCGCATTTAATCCTCTCCTCTCCTCCTCCCCCTCCTCCCTCCCCCCCCTCCTGGCCTCGGCCCTCCCCATGTCTCTGTTTCGGCACATCCAGTTTCGTGGCCCCATAAGGCCCCAGTGGCAGGGCCCACATGGCGGCGCCGCCCCATTTTGGCGCACCCATCACACGGTTCGTGGCCCTAGAGGGAGCTCCACCGAATGCCCCAGTGGCAGAGTTCACATGGCGGCGCCGCTCTATTTGGGCACACCCCTCACACGATTCGTGGCCCCATGGGGAGCTCCACCGAATGCCCCAGTAGCGGCGCCGGCCCATTTTGGCGCACCCCTCATACGGTTCGTTGCCC